CATTTTGGAATTGCCTGCTCCTGTGCTCTTAGGAGGTAGTACTTAAAAAGTGACCACCACTGATGGACCCCAGCACCTTCAAAAACATTTTCCCAGGGGACCTTACTAAGTAGTTCCCTGAGCAGCCTGAAGTCAGCTCTCCTCATATCCAGAGTTGAGGTCTTGCTGGCAGTTTTCCTCCTGTTACCGTAGATTTTAAACTTGACTGCTTCATGGTCGCTGTGGCCAAGGCAGCCACTTCACCCACGAGACCCTCTCTGTTAGTAAGCAGCAAATTGAGGAAGGCACCTTTCCTGGTCAGTTCGCTTAGTACTTGTACCCAGAAGTTATCATCCAGATGGTTTAAGAATCTTCTGGACCTGCTTGTACCAGCTGTGTGGTATTCCCAGTTGACATCTGGCAAGTTGAAGTCCCCTATAAGGACAAGGGCAGATGACTTGGAAGCATCCCTTAGTTCCCTGAAGAATAACTCATCCGTGTCGTCATCCAGGCTGGGTGGCCTATAGTAGGCTCCCACAACGACATCAGCTTTATTTGTCTGTCCCTTAATCCTTACCCAGAGGCTCTCCACTGTGCCATCGCCAGCTGCTAGCTCCATGCATTCCAGCCCCTCCACTACATACAGTGCCACCCCGCCGCCTCGCCTGCCCTGCCTGTCCCTCCTGAAGAGCCTGTAACCATCCATCGTGGCACACCAGTCACGGGACTCATCCCACCAGGTTTCACTTATGCCTGTGATGTCATATCTCTGGGACTGGGCCAAGGCATCTAGCTCCTCTTGCTTGTTCTTCATGCTGCGTGCATTTGTGTAAAAACACTTCAAGTGTGGTTCATTGTGCCCGTTGCCTCGTGGAGCAGCCTGAGGAATCTCACTAGCATGCAGCTCCTCAAACTTTGGCGTGCCATCCCGTTGCTTGCTGCTGACTCGCCAGATATTGTCCCTTTCCCCCTTCCAATCTAGTTTAGAGCTCTATCAGTCAGCCCTGCTAGCTCCTGAGCAAAAACCCTGTCCCCTTCTGAGAAAGGTGCATCCCATCGGATGTCAGTAGACCTGGGGATGAATAGATCATCCCATGATTGAAAAACCCACAGTTCCGCCGATGACACCAGCCTCGGAGCTGCGTGTTGATCAGCTGGGTCTGCCTATTCCATTCGGTGTTTTTCCCTGCTACTGGCAGGATCGAAGAGAACACCGCCTGAACACCTGCGCCTTCAACTAACCAACCCAAGGCTCTGAAATCCCTTTTGATTGACTTAGGACTTCTCTTTGTTATCTCTTTGCTGCCGACATGAAGAACTAAGAGCGGGTAGTAGTCCAAGGGCCTTACCAGACTGGGGAGTCTTTTAGTGACATCTCTTATCCTTGTCCCAGGGAGGCAGCAGACTTCCCTGTGGGCTGGGTCCGGCCGGCACACGGGACCCTCCGTTCCCCTCAGCAGGCCGTCACCTCTGACAACTACCCTTCTTTTTTTCTTGACGCGGGGGGGAGGCTGCCCAGACGACCGCTCCGTCCCAGAAGGACCTACGTCCACAGCACCGCTTGCCTGCCCGTCCGAGCCCAGCGCCCCACACCTGCTGTGTCGGGGCGCCTGGGAAGGTGAGGCCGGCTGAGGGGCAGGGCCCGGGCACCGGGAGGAGCCG